CCCTGGAAACTATAATTGTAACTATCTAGTCTTCAACTCCATCAAAGACCCCAGAAGGACATGTTATTTGAGTAAACAGGAAGTGCAATGCAAGCAACTTCCAAAATTCTAGAAATGACAGAAACATCTGGCTACCTGGACAGTCACCTAAAGTTCCTCTGTAACATTGGTGCATCTATCTTCAGCCTACAGGCCTAGAGTCTCTGGTAAACTTTTTAGTGAAGCAGGAAATTTGAAGGATTGTCTTGCCTATTGGCAAAGTTCATCAGTCACTTTCCCCAGAGTCCTGCAGAATGTCTGGCAGGATCCTGAAGAACCATCTTGCCTTCTTTTTGCAAAGTTTCAGTGATCACTTTCCTATGGGTCCTGCATGTCCAGTTTATACAACATATTGTCAAGCATTCAAGACAAAAGCAGTTTCTTGCCCAAATGACTAGCCTTTTCCACATTGTAAGCAAACTTCAAAATGAGTTTCTTTGATGCTCATCATCTTCTTTGAAGTAATTGGTGCTGCCAGGAGCAGACATGTCTCACTGTCCAGAAAAGTCTAAGTTCTTAAAACATTTTAAATGCCATATTATGTCAGTCTTTGAAGTATTTAAAGATTACCTATCTATCTGAAATATATCTCTGTATATCTAGAAATCTAACTAACATAATTATAGGTTTGACTATTATAGATGACTATTAATCTGTATTTTTAACAATATATATTACATTTTTCAATGAGTTATATAAACATAAAACTTAAACAAGAGTAGAAACATGCATATAGTATAACAAAATTGACCTTAAATGTGTATTAATAAACCAAAATTCATACCAATGTAAATTATTTGAGATTAACAGTTTTTTTTGGATTAAGGTAGATTTAATAATCTATCTTTTCTCATCATTTCTATATCATATCCCCCTTTAAGTTAAAACAAACATTCATAGACAATATTTTGAGAATCTGAGTGTAGCTTTCTATATACTCCCTGCTGATGCTGGCAATCTTATGGGGATCCTGAGAAAATTTAGGATTATGGTCAAGTTCTAACTGGAGTAGTCTGTGAGCCTGGATCATATCAGCCAGCTGCCTTGAAGCTGTTCTGAATGTTGGATCATTTGGGCCATAGCTCCCATTGGAGACCTCTCAGGTGATCTTCCTTGATGGAACCATATTAACCTGGAAGGAATCCACAGCTTCCTGAAAGGAAACTCGCAGAACTTCTTTTCCAAAGCAACATATCCTTAGACCCAAATTTTAAAATCAAGATACCTTTTAGGATGTATATGTTGATTTAACTTAGCAGCCCCTACAATCAAATGTCTCTCTGCAGTTAAAAATTCCAAAGACAACACAATAATATACAGTACTATAATCAGAAGATTTCCTGTGTCCCACCTGGCCCTTGGTCAGAACAAATCTCTCACCCACAGTCCTGTAGCCTTTTATAAAATAATCACCCAGAGGCTTAATATTATTTATAACTGCCTGGCCATTAGCTCAGGCTTATTGCTGACTAGCTCTTACACTTAAATTAACCCATGATTCTTATCTATGTTTAGCCACGTGGCTTGGTACCTTTTCTCAGTTCTGCCTTCACATCTTGCTTCCTCTCTGTCTGGCTGGTGACTCCTGACTCAGCCTTCCTATTCCCAGAATTCTGCTCATCTGCTTGCCCCACCTATACTTCCTGCCTGGCTACTGGTCAATCAGTGTTTTATTAAACCAGTGAACAAAAGCATTATCTCAAAGCACAGTATCCAGACTCTCTGTGCATTTTCCATCTTTACGTGTTTTTTTTAAAATTTTATTTCTTTTTTAAAGGCTTTTTCTGTCCCAAGCTTATGTATATTTTTAAACACACTATAACCCGTTTAGAGGTTTTTCCCATCTGAATATGTTTTATTGCATATCTGTAACACTTTCCTGACAAGGAGAGTTTTTAAACTGCTAAGCTGTGTGGCTAGGACTGAAATAGTAGCCCTGGCTGCTGGCCCTACCCCGTTCAGCTTTTCAACACGGGGCAGGTACCAAGGAGTCACACTTACCTCCCCAATTCTGGGAAGCAGTATTAAGTAGCATGCATGTGTGTTTAAGCCCATGGCTGTGCTCCCAAGCCTGCAGGCAGTGCCTGGGAGAAAACTCTTTGTATTGAGACCTGTGAGAGACCATGAGAGTCTGCCATGTTGCTGCTGAAGCTTGCTACAGCCAGGGGACATATTTCTGTATGGAGGCTGTAATGAGACCCGAACTAGGAAGCTGTTCTTGGCTGCATTTTAGAACTTTTTTTTTGGCTGTCAGGTTTTATGTGGAAATTCTTGCCAAATGTCTGGGCACCAATTGTAGACTATAGTTTCTAGGTCCTGCCAGGTCCTGCCTAGGCAGTAGCTGTTTCTATAAAAATAATCACTCAGAGGCTTAATATTAATTACAGACTGTTTGGTCTATGGCTTGGGCTTATTGCTAAGCTCTTGTATCTTAAATTAACCCATTTCTATTCATCTATGTATTGCCACGTGGCCATGGCATTACCAGTCTGCTGGCATCTTGCTCCTTGGGTTGCTGGATGACTTCTCCCAGAATCCTCCTTTCTGGTCCCTGTATCTCTCTTGGATTTCCTGCCTGGCTATATCCTGTGTTGCCATAGGCCAAAACATTTTTATTAACCAATAATAGCAACACATATTCACAGTGTACAGAAAGACCATCCCACAGCAAGGATAGATTTTTTTTCCACAAAGATATCCAAAGGTTCAAATAACAAAACAATTAATTGGAAGCAGTATGTTTTATCAAGTCACTTTAGGAAAGCATATTCAAGCCTAGGAGAAAAAGTATTTGGAAATCCTTATTCCTCACATTTTTCATATTCACTTTCCAAGAACATACTTAGAATGACATTCTTTATCTGGTAGTGACTCAACTGATCATTTTATCCTGTATTGTTATCTAAGGGCTGACCCCACTGCCACTGCCTCTCTCCCTTCAGAAAACAAACAAACAAACAAACAAACAAACAAACAAACAAACAAACAACACTATGAAGAATGAAATGCTTAAGGGCTTAAGTTCTTTAGGAATCTTAGGGGAAAGAAAGGATAAAAATATATTGTATTTTTGCTAGGATTGTCTGCTGAATGTCACATACATTATTCATCTTTTTTTAGTCATATAGGAAAAGAAGGGTCTTTCCCCATACTTTCTAACTGTAAAGAGCTGTAGCTTAGTGAGGAGCAATTGTTTAACTAAGAGGTCCTAGCATTCAACCTTCAGTATATGGGTAAATCAATAACTAGTGCTTAGAATGACACTATTTGCTTTCCGTCTCTTGGAAAAAATTATATCAAAAGAATTCTGCTTAGCACAAAACTCTATAGTTAGAAGATTGATAGTACAGCTGACATTTCAAAAGCACCATGACTACCAGTACTCACACAGATTTCTAAAATAAACAAGCCAGTAAATCCTTAATTCATATCCAAATAATGACTAAAAAGAACTGTTTAGAAACCTTTAACAAAGGTCTCTGTCTGAAATCAGGATATAGAACACACCGTACATCTGACAGCACTTCCCTGGGCATAGCTCTTTGCCAGCAGTCTGGAGCTATGTCTGGGGCTCTTCACTGATCCCTAGCTGTCCAGACCCTGCCTGGCTGTATCTCTCTTATTGTATTGTCTTCGTTGCACCATAATGACCTAAATTTTTCAGACTTTTGTCTTATCAAAGGTCATGAGACCTCCTCTGCATTCTCTATAGATTTTTCTTTTATAAGGAAATTGCTATCTGTCCCAGGAAACTCATCATATACATAAGGGGACAATTTCATTACATACTGTAGTTAGTAGATAATGTATTTGTATTATGAAAGGTATTGTGAGTGGAACAATTCTTTTTTAAATGGAATATTTAGTAACTAAAATATTGTTTTCGAGTTAGACTGTCTGGAAAACACATGAGATGCTCTGTTTAATTGAGGGGCAAACTCTCTTAAGGATTTGGTTACTTTTGAGGTATTTCTTCAATTCCTCAAATTACTCACTCATTTGAGGACAGGAATGCTAAACTAGCACTAAATATGGACTAACCACTGTTGTGGGAGTTCATTCCACTCAACCAATGGCTTTGGGGGTATCTGACCCAGTCCTTGCTACTCAAGAGAGACAGTGACCCCCCTCTCTCTCCTCTTAAGTGGTTGGGCATGTACGCAGACAAGATCATGGCCATCCCATTGGTTGAATAGAATGAATTCCCACAACAAACCACAGCTAGTACTTCTAGAACAGTGGTTTATGTCAAAGGCGAATTTTATATCCCTCTCCATGTATACACTCAGTAGCAACTCGAGACATTGAGGGCTGTCATGACTTGGGAAGCGAGGGAGGCAATGTACTATAGGTGTGCATGGGTAGAGGCCAGAGCCTGCTAAACTTCGCTAAACTTCCCACAGTGAGCACAGCAGTACCACAGTGTTTTCAGCCTGGAATGCCACAATAGCAGTGTGGTTGAAGCACCTTGGGGTCCTAAGGATGATGGTAAGGACTGAGGGAGGCAGAAGAGACTAGTCTGGGAGTCAGAGCCTAAACCACAGAACTAGCAGGGCTTTCCCAGGCTTGAAACATTGGAAAAGACAGAGATTCTGCAAAAACAGAGGTTTCAAATGTATTTGTATGTTCACTTGCATCCAGAAATTCCTGGTTAGGTCCAGGTTACAGGGAACAGAGCTGATATCATCATGTTCAATCAGACCTTCCTGGAATCTGGCCTTCTGTCACCTGTCTCCCATTAGTTATGTGATCTCCACCCCCACTTGGAGTGCCATGTGGAGAAGGCACATCCATTCTCACCTGCCACACTTTCAGCCCTTCTCCAGCCTAAAAGCCTCAAGCTCCTAGGGACAGCAGATCCCATCACCATCATGCACTGTTATTCAAATTCTCCTTGACTGGGGATTTTAAAAAAGGTTAATAAACCATTTCATTACAATGGTTAGCTAGTTAATCATCTTTACTCAATGTCGGTTTCCCAGATAAGCATCATTTAAAGACCCAAGCTGCATCAAGTGACCCTTTTAACGAGGTCAATGATTCGTCAACCATTCGAAAGCTCTGGAGAGACCAAGAGAAAACATACAATAACCCACACCTCCCCCACAGTCATTATATAGAAAAGAGAGAAAGTGCCCGGTCCCACCGCGTGGCCCTTTTGTGCTGTTCCTGCAAACGCAGCAGACCTCCTGCTATATAGACCCGCGCGCCCAGCCCTACACACCCAACAGCACCATCCCATCCGAACCGCCAACACCAGCCATGGGGAAGGTGAGCCTCGGGCACCCAGGGCCTGGGGGAGGGAGCTGCCCTCGGGTCCAGGCCCCATCAGGCCTCTCCCTGAGCCTTGCCTTGCTTTACAGATCACCTTCTATGAGGACCGTGGCTTCCGGGGCCGCCACTATGAGTGCAGCAGCGACCACTCCAACCTGCAGCCTTACTTCAGCCGCTGCAACTCTGTGCGCGTGGACAGTGGCTGCTGGATGCTCTATGAGCAGCCCAACTTCGGAGGCTGCCAGTACTTCCTGAGGCGTGGGGACTACCCTGACTACCAGCAGTGGATGGGTTTCAGCGACTCCATCCGCTCCTGCCGCCTCATCCCCCACGTGAGTCCCATTCCTACATCCCTGTGGCCTTCAATCTCATCTTCTCCCTCATCTAGTTATACTTTGAGCTGAGGGATGGGGTGGCCGCCACCTTCCTTGTGGGGATTCTCTAGGATTCAGGGAAATGCAGCAAACCTTTGACACTTGAAAGCTCTTAAGACAGACCCACAATAGGCCGCGAGAACTGCTCCTCAGTTTTCCCATTTAGCAGAAATGTCTGGGGTTTCCTTTGGTGAGTCCTGTTATGTGCCAGGCTTTGTAAAGGTCAAATTTGGCCGTACACACAAAGTCCTCTTGGAAGCTATAATACATTGAATGCATGGAATGGTGGGAGTTTATCAGCAGCTGTTCTTTCCTCAAACTGTGTTGCTTAGGAGAATCCTTCCCACAGAGGGCTCTGGCGGTGGAAAAAGATTCGGGACAGTAGTACCTGCTGAGGAGGGGCAGGGACAGAGGGGGTCAAGATAACAGGGTAGTCAGGACAGGCAGTCTGAACTTCCATTGCTGTCCACAGTTTACACTCTTGATCTGCACAGGCCTTTTGTTTGGGACTTTGTAAATGTGATTTGCCAGAACACATTGGAACTGAGAGTTGAACTCCAATCTTTTGTTCATTTATTTCCATTTCATTGCTGTGTTTACCTGGATTTTCGGAACGCATCCAAGGCTAGCCCCAAACCTCCGGTGTATTACAGTCTGACCTCCAACTCTCAAACTTGGGATCCTCCTGCCTCTGCCGCTGAAAGGCTGAGACTGTAGATGTGCACCACCACAGCCCCTCTCAACCTAATTTTTAAGGTGCCCTTGATCTCTAGGTTTGAAAACAGGGCCTGAAACATAAAAAAGGGATAGATGGAGGAGAGGTTGTGGGTCAAGCTTCCCTGGAGGAGCCATCAGTCTGTGACTTACATGGCGTTGACAGCCGTTATTTGACTTTTTGAATTTCGTCCCCTTTGGTATAGAAAAGATAAGGGACGCCCATCCTCCAGGCAGCACGTGCTGGATTACCAGGCTCAGGTCAGGTTTTCTCACACTCCCTTGTCTACTCTGCGTGCCCCACAGTCCAGCTCTCACAGGATCAGGATCTACGAGCGAGAGGACTACAGAGGCCAGATGGTGGAGATCACCGACGACTGCTCCCACCTCCAGGACCGCTTCCACTTCAGTGACTTCCACTCCTTCCACGTGCTGGAAGGCTACTGGGTCCTCTATGAGATGCCCAACTACCAAGGCCGGCAGTACCTGCTGAGGCCTCAGGAGTACCGGCGCTACCACGACTGGGGCGCCATGAACCCCAGGGTGGGCTCTCTAAGAAGAATCATGGATTTCTATTGAAATTTCTTACTCTGCCCTTTCATCATTTGGAAGTTAATAAAATATTTCCTGTGTGTTCCATGCAGTAAAGGGGTCCTCTGTATTTTTTTTTCAGCCTTCTTAGGAGGGCACAGCTAAACTGCAGACAGGAAAAATATGGCTATTCTTATATTCAGTTGGTGTTGTGCTATGAGAAACCAGGAACTCAGCCTCAGGAACCTGGACTCTAACCACTTACTAGCTGTATGTGGTAGGGCAAGCCACTTGGCATTTCTGTGCCTCAGTTTCCTAGTTTGTGAAGATGGGAGATGTAATAATACTCTTCTCTCCCGGCCAGGCAGTGGTGGCGCACACCTTTAATCCCAGCATTTGGGAGGCAGAGCCAGGCAGATCTCTGTGAGTTCGAGGCCAGCCTGGTCTCCAAAGCGAGTTCCAGGAAAGGCCCAAAGCTACACCGAGAAACCCTGTCTCAAAACAAAAAACAAAAACAAAAACAATAATAATAATAATAATAGCAGCAATACTCTTCTCTGGAGTCTCTGTTGTGGATTGCATGTGTTTGCTTTTTTCTATCGTGGACAGTGGCTTGGCTCTAACCATATCCGGAAGCTGTTCTATAAGCTTACATGTAGAGCGTTAGCTTTCATCCTTAGTGCTCTCACTTGAGACTCTTTTGGGGTGATTGAATGAAAGAGAATGGCTGAATAGAACTGCATCAGTGTGAGGCAGAGTTAGAGAGTTATCTGTTAGCATAGTCATGCCTGACACATCTAAAAAGTCCAAAACTATGGGGCTGAATGAAGAGATGTTTAAATATTTTACATGCTAAGAACACAGATTTAAGAACCAAGGGCTCTCTTTTGTATTATTTTTTAATCTATTTTACATACCAACCACAGTTTCCTTTCCCTCCTCTCCTCCCACCACCCACCCCCTCACTTCCCATCTACCCTTCTCCCCATCCACTCCATCTCTATCCTCTCCATTCAAAGAGAGGCAGGCCTCCAATGAGCTTGATGGCATATCATGTTGAGGTCAGACCAAGCTCTTTCCCCTTTATCCGGCTAAAGGAAGAAATCCAGCATGGGGAACAGCTTTCCAAAAGTCAGCTAAGAGACAGGTCATGATCTCACTGCCACTGTTAAGGAGCCTCACAAACAGACCAAGCTACACAATGGTCACACACATGTAGAGGGCCTAGGTTGGTCCCATGCAGGCTCCCTAAGTTCAGAGTCCCTGAGCTCCCAGAACCCTCTTTTAAAAGAAGCCAGAAGACTCTTTCCAATGTCATTTTTGTGGTGGTATTGTGTTCCCCAAAATATTGTGCACCCTAATAAACTTATCTGGGGTTAGAGAACGGAACAGCCACTAGATACAGAGGCTAAAAAATAGTGACACTCACACCTTTAATCCTAGCCTTCTGGAGGCATGGATCTCTGTGAGTTCAAGGCCACATTGGAAACAGCCAGGCATGGTGAGCCACACCTTTAATCCCAAGAAGTGAGCCTTTAATCCCAGGGAGTGATAGCAGATAGCAGAAAGGTATATTAGGCATGAAGACCAGGAACTAGCAGCATTTGGCTGGTTAAGCTTCAGGCTTTCGAGAAGCAGTTCAGCTGAGATCCATTTGATTGAGGACTCAGAAGCTTCCAGTCTGAGGAAAAAGGATCAGCTGAGAAACTGGCAAGGTGAGGTGGCTGTGGCTTGTTCTGCTTCTCTGACCTTCCAGCATTCATCCCAACAACTGGCACTGGGTTTGTTTTTATTAATAAGACCCTTTATGATTCATGTTACACATTTCTAATGGAGCTGCACAGCACTTGGTGATGTGAGCTGGTGGAAACAGGTAAACACTGTGTAAAGGCTGAGAGTGCGTGATTAGGGAAACACACATCAGCAATGCAAAGCTCATAAGCACATCGTGGAACTGGCAGATATTATCCTCACACTTGGAGCCATCTTTCTGACACTGAGTTCACCAATAGATTTTGGTAACAATTCCTTCAGTAAAAAAGGAAAAGAAGAACTTGGGGTGGGGTCTTGTTTGGGGAAACTCAAGATGATTTTTCTGCAAGGAGTCAGGAAATGAAATCAAGCAAGCATTCTGTCATACCAAAGGGTTCCCTGTATGCACAAATACTGTATTTTATATATTTGCATAAAAAGGGGAAAAAGTGAATTTCTATACAGCTCATGGATTTTTGCTTTAATAATGAAAACGACAACTCTTAGAAGTAAATTCACGGTGAACTAAATAACTGATTATGAAATAAGGAATGCAAATTATTTTATTTTTTAAAAATCAGTATCCTTTCATTTATTTTTGGAGGTTATAATTTCCCCTTTCTCTGTCCTCCCTTGAAGCAAAAATATTTTTTGCTTGAATAAAAATACCAGTCAGCTAGCAAATGCATTGCCTCCAAAATCTCAAACATTAGAATACAATAGTTAGATTATTTTACTCATCCAATATACTATCAAGCTCCAAGATAGCTGGAGAATCTCTGAAGACATATTAAAGTAGTTGTGTCTAGTGCCCACGTGGATATAAACACTTGAGGTGAGGTTAGTCTGAGGGAAGATATATCCTAAGCATAAAATAGCCACCACAATCTAAAGACTCGGTTTGGAAAGCACAAATATTCCCTTAATATGTTTGCATATAAGTTAATATTTAAATAATAGTATTTTATATATTAGACTGAATAAAACATACAGTAAATGAAAACTAAAACTTCACCCATAGCTTTTAACTTTTTTAATGTAGCAATCTTTTAAAACTTTTAAAATATAAGTCTTAAATCTAAGATTATATTCCTTACTAAATTTCTCCTGAGCAGTGAGGATGGAGACATCCAGACAGGACAGAAGATGAATGGGAATTTGTGCTCAGAAAGCACTCTAACCTTTGCATTTGGGTTCACGATGTTCTGGCATGAAACTGGGCTATTCTGAGAGTATAATAGATAGCAGGGAAAATGTTTAAGCATTATAATGAGTAATTCCCCTGTGAGGAGATGCTCAGTTAAACAATAATTTTCACTTGTCATCGGTGAAAGAGAATGAGAGCAGAGTGAGTTGTGCTCTTGTGTTGTGAGTGCCCCACTGAAATGGTCCAGTGAACTGAAACGTCAACAGCAAACATGGACTCCACTGAAACAGGTTACAGTCAACCCCTCCAATCTGCTCAATCTGCCGCTTGTGCAGTGATAGCTCCTCAGTTACAGTGCTTTCAGTCTGGAGTCTTGTTTAGTTGGCTTGCATACTAAATTCTAAAAATGTCACAGATACTATCCTAGCATATCTGTATCCCCTGAAAGAGCTAGTGTAGTGCATTGGGTATGAGGCAGATTCAAGGATGAACAAAAAATATGTGCCTTAGACAATCTCTGGCCTTACCTGGCCTACTATTTACAGTCACATAAAGGCAGTAGGAGGTGCTTCTAGCATCTTTCCTTGGTACATTGTTTTGTTTTTAATCTCTAACCCACCATCTTCATGGTGCTTCTTTCTGTATTCACTTTATTTTTCAACTATTGAAGGATAATTGAAGAAGGAGAATCCCGGAGGCATTTTGCATAACAATGGGCCTAGCACAGCATTGATTTTTTTTTTAAATTTTGTTGTTGTTATTGTTGTTGTTAGATCCAAATCATAAATTCTTACTCTAGATGAGAGGTAAAAATGAAATCCTGCATTTAGGTATAGGGAGAAAAGCCTTATTATGTAGTAATTTCTGAGGAGTTAGGATAAGATAGTCACCTACCAAACATTATTTGGACCAGGACAGTAAGAGCAATGTCAAAGTTACTGGTGGACAGTAGCAGGGAATGACAAAACCTGTACCAACCAGAAAGTACATGCCTTACCTAAAGGCATATGCACACAAGACTCTTAAAGTACATGGAAAACGCCATTCAGCCAATCCTAAGGGTGTTTCGTTTTTTATCTCTGAACACATGGAGTTTGTCCTAAAAATGAATACTTCAGGCCAAAAGAGACATTTTTCTAAAGTCCCCATATATCACAGTATTCCACCACAGTCTGTGTTATGCAATACTTCTTATTATGCCTATTTTTTTCATGTTTCATTGATTCTCCATAGAGACTGTACTGGAGAGATTTATGTCAACTTACACAGCCAATGTCATCAGAGAAGAAGGAAATTCAATTAAGAAAATGGACTCTAGGCAGACCTATAGGGTATTTTCTTAATTAGTGATTAATTGGGGAGGGCCTAGCTCATTGTGGGTGGTGCTATCCCTGGGTTTTGTAAGAAAGCAAGCTAAGCAAGCCATGAGGAGCAAGCCAGTCAGCAGTACTCCTCTATGGCCTCTGCATGAGCTGCTGTCTCCAGGTTCCCGCCTTGTTTGAGTTCCTGCCCTGACTTCCTCCAAGGGTGAGCAGTGATGTGGAAGTGTAAGCCAAATAAACCCTTTTCTTCTCAATTTGCTGTCGGTCATGGTGTTTTATCATAGCAACCGTGACCCTAATTAAGACTAAATGTATCCACATTCTCTGGGTTGGAAGTAATAAGAGCCACAGCAGAAATAAAAGTGGCCACACATCTATCAGAAACTGGGTAAGGATTCCACCTCAAATGCTCCCTGGCCTTACATGACCTGAGTAGAAGACACTTGGAGCATCTTTCCTTTGTGCACTTCTTATCTCGCTCCCACCCCATCTTCTCCCTGATTCTTTCAATGTATTCACTTTACTTTAAAACTATTGAGAGAAAAGAAGACAAGGTAGTGTCCAACCCCAATGGACAATTAAAGAAGGACCCCAGAGGTGTTTTTCGAGGTCAGTGGTGCAGCCACTGACACAGCATTTTGTGAGCTCTAGAGAATAAATTGTCATCTGGACGAGAAGTAATAATGAAATCCTGCACTAAGTGCAGGACTCAAAGGGAGAGGTTTTTCCCTTCATGATGCAGAACAGCATTTGACAGTGTTTGTCAGGTAGCTAGCTAAGAGAAACTTCTTATAGAAATTGAAAACTAAAATTTAGAGAAATGGGGCATGGTTCATTCATGAACTATTTATTAGCATGCCTAGAAGAAAACATGAATACTCTATGCTGTCA